CATGCTGAGGCTAGAGGAACCATTGTGACCAGCTGGCCTGAGCTCTTCACTTCTGGTCGAGCTACAGCAGCGTCTCCATGGAACGACCTCCCAGGATGGAGAATCCACCCCCTCCTGAGGAAAGCTGTTCCCATGCTTAATTACCAGCACTTAAATGGTGCCTTATTTCTAGCCTGAATTTGTCTAGCTACAGCTTCCATCTACTGGATCTTATTATGCCTTTCTCTCCGAGATGGACCAGCTGCTTACTGTCATCTCTCTCTTCTGGTTTTCTCTGCCCGTTCTCCAGCTCTGCAGGGGACAGAGAGCGCCTTCAGACTAAGAAATAGCTGGAGTTTGTTTCACACATTATCGGGAACAGTCGCACACCAAGCCCCCCTTGCAGGCCCCTTCCCCTCCCGCGACGCTTCTCAGCATAGCCACCCATTGCCATTCTCAGCCTCCTAGTCACCCGCCTCCACGTAGCACCATGGGGGAGGGATAGCTCAGTGGTTTGAGCATTGGCCTGCTAAACCCAGGGTTGTGAGTTCAGTCCTTGAAGGGGGCCATTCAGGGATCTGGGGCAAAAATCTGTCTGGGGATTGGTCCTGCTTTGAGCAGGGGGTTGGACTAGATGACCTCCTGAGGTCCCTTCCAACCCTGGTATTCTATGATTCTATGAATCAAGCCAGCTAAAGGGGCGGTAGAGCCCCCAATGCCCTCCAGTGCCCCAACACCACAGACGCGCCTCCAGCGCACAACCAACAAACACTGCACAACCAAAATGGAAACCTAGCTCCAACTCCCCCACACACACCCCACAGCATAACAGCTGCAACTAGCACTCCCCTCACGGGGCCTTGGGGGAAGGGATGGGGCCTGGGCAGAGCCAGGGGTCGAACACCCCCCAGCACATTGGAAAGTTGGTGCCTGTGCACGGGTCTGCAGCCTGGGGCCTGGTGGGAGACCAAGAGATGGCGCTTGGAGGCCGCAGACCTGACGGGTGCACACGAGACGACCCGGAGGGTCAGAGGTGCAGTTAGCCCAGTAACTAATGTCTAAGCACATTTATACCGCTCTAGCTGCATCCACACTAGGGCAACTGTCCTGGTATCAGCCCTACTGGCCTAGTCAAAGCGACACCACGTTGAGCATAGCCATGTCCTACGGCTGGCGTGACTGTCTCAGAGGACGCAGAGCAGCCCTGGCCGCTGACCCTGCATCAGCGAACTGGTCAAACAGCCCATCGGAAGGGGAAGCACGTCCTGCCTCGCACAGGACCACCAGCAAGCTGCTGGGCTCGTATTTGCTCTGGTGACACCCTCAGGTGCTGTTCTGTCGTCTCTGCTGGGCCCCTCGCCGTTTGTCTCTGGAGATCTGTCAAACTCCGTTCAGGTCACCACAGTGCGTGTGCGTCTGGCTCACTGCAGGCCCTGGGGACAGCTCAGCGCATCAGGCCCGGCTCCGCTCAGGATCGCCAGGGGCTAGCGTGCTTCGGCAGAGCTAGCTGCGTACAGGACTCAGCAAAGGGGGGTCAGTGAGCGGTGTCTGGGCTGGGGCCCGAGGGGTGGCATAGCCAGGGTGGGCTGCGCAGTGTGATCTGGAGTGCAGGCGAGGACGGTGCAAGTCCTGGCCAGGGCCGTGAGTCTCTGTCCTAAGACTCAAACCCAGCCCTGCCATGTCTCAGAAAGGGGGACAAGAGGCAGTGGGGTCAGCGTCGAACGGCGCAGCACTGCACTATTGCTCTGGCCCTCCGGGAGAAGCCGTGCTCACTGGCACTGCAGGCATGAGCTCAAATTGCTAATATTGGCTCAGGTGCAGGAAGGTTAAATTCACGCCCCTGGGACAAACCTTCCTCTGCCAGCAGGAAAGCAGCTGGGCGGAGGCGGAGTTTCCCCTTCTCTCCTGGGACGGGAGGAGAGCAGATTGCAGAAGAGGAAGAGAGTGGGGTTTGCTGCGAACCCTAAGCAAACAGCCCCCAAAGCAGTGACAGAACTACAACTGCAGGGGGCACTCCCGCCTCCCCAGGCTCATCTCTTCCCTCTCGCGTGCCAGGGAGCAGCCCATGGCCCTACGCCTGGGGGAGCACAGAGTGGACTTGAGACGAAGGGTGCCACTGTGCGGGGGAAAGTCAGCCAGAGCAACGGTTGCTGGAAGAAGCCCTTTGATAAATTGCCTTGCGGCAGAGGGAGAGATGCAGCTGTGCAGGGGAGAGGGCAGCTGCCCCACGCGGACCAGCCTGTGGGGGGGTGAGGCTGATGAAATCAGTGGCTCTGGGGTTCCCCTCACTCACCTGGGGATTTCCGCACCAGTTACACATTAGCTGCAAGCAGAAACATGTTGTGACGTTACACCCCCTATTCTTTATGGAAATATGGTTACGATATGGATATGGTATAACCAAGATATACTTCATGCAAGACGGCTCCTGGGCGGGATCATTGGAAAGGTTCTGATTTACGGAACGTGTTTATCCAACGTGTGTAGCATTTCTGTATCTGAACCTGGGACTATGGACCATGTCTCTGTATTTCAAATGGGCTACGTCGAATGAGGCCAAACAGTGTTAGTGGCTTATTGAAGAAATGCACAAGCACAAGGATCACCCCAGGAACCGTGTGCAACAGACACCTCTCAGAGATAGCCCTGCACAATGGGAACTGTCTGACCCAGGTCACAGCAAAAGAGCTTTCCAGCAAGTGGGGGAAAGATATAAAAGCGGGACAATGACAACATGAGGGGGCCTCACACTCCTGACAACACACCTGAAAACACCTGAGGAACAAAGACTGACCTGTGGGAAGTGATGGTCCCAGGCTAAGCTGGGAAAGCCAAGGCAACCGGTGCCTTAAGACTCTGCCAGCCTGTTTATCCCTCAGCGTGAGAATTTGTTAATTTGTATCTTACCTATCTAGTGTGTTAAGCTCAGTCTGCGTGTTTTCTTTCATTTGTTTAGTGATCTGCTTTGTGCTGTTTGCTCCCCCGTGAACCACTTAAATCTGCCTTTTAGTGTTAATAACATTTGTTTTGTTTATTATTAACCCCAGTTTCTGTCATTTCTAAACGGGGGGGGGGGGCGGGGGGGCAAGAAGTGTGCACACCTCTCCCCACACTGAGGGAGGGGGCGAATTTCATAGTATCTCTTTGGGTCTGCACTCCAAGGGAGGGGGACATCTGAGTGCTGGAGCAAGTCCCTTAAGCTGAGTCTGCCCAGAGCTGACCTGCAGCTGGGGGTGGCCCTGCCTGTGTGTGGGTTAGAGGAGGTTCGCAGGGCCTGGCTCAGCCAGACAGATTAAGGGGGGCCCAGGCTGCCAGAACAGGTCGACTCAGTGGTCTCTCAGCACATCAGGTGGCATCCCAAGGGGTCCCACCCATCACACGTCACCAGCAGCTTTCCAGGAATAAGCAGCCGCCCAGGAGTCAGGTGGCTGCCCGCTAGCCTGTGCGGTTTATCCTCAAGAACGAAGGCCCTGCCCCACCAGCCAAACACCCCTGGGGCCGGGGCAGCTCTTGGTATGAAAACCTCGGCGCTGCAGGCCATCAGCTTGCTGGGCAGCGGGGCCAGGAGCAGGGTGCTGGCATGGTGCCCCAGCTCCAGTGGCTGATGGGGTGCCACTCCTTTCCGGGGGCGGGACCGATGTCCCGGGGGGGGGTTCACAGCAGGCATGCTCAGACGATGCATGTATTATTTTTGTATCTGAAGTTATAATTATTGGCTCTATACCTGGATTTCAAATGTTTGCTCCTGGGGTAACGCCCACAAGGCAGCACCCAGCACAGCTTGGAGGGACTATTCAAAGTGGCTCATCAAGAAACACTTGGCTGACAACGGACCATGGGAGACAGACGCCCATCTGCACTGTGGGGACTGTCCCGTAAATATGCTGTCTGGCGTGTAGGTAATGGCTTCCTGCAGTGATTGAGCAAAATTGGGCATAAACATGTGACTTGCCCATGTGACTCCAAACACCATCTTGTTGCTGTAATTTTCCACAATAAGAACAATGGGATGCCCTCCACATGGCAAAAGCTATAAAACACCCTGGAAACCCCTCCACTTTGTCTTCAGTCCTGCTTCTTACCTCTGGAGGAACTGTGCTACAAACTGAAGCTCTGAACAATGGACTGAATGACCCATCCCAGCTGGGGAGGTTCCAGAGACTTGATTTGAACCTGCAGTTTATTCCATCACTGCTACAAGCCTGAACCAAGAACTTTGCCATTTCTGTATGTAATTGATTCCCTTAGCCAATTTTAACTCTCACCTTTCTCTCTTTTTATGAATAAACCTTTAGATTGTGGATACTAAAGGATTGGCCCCAGTGTGATTTTTGGGTAAGATCTAAGTTATATATTGACCTGAGTGTGTGGCTGGTCCTTTGGGACCAGGAGAAGCTTTTATTTGATGAGACTGGTTGTAAAGAACCACTCACCTTTAAATCCAGTGTTTTCGGTGGTAATACAAGGACTGGGATGCCTAAGGAAACTGCTTTTATAACTTCTTGTTAGCCGGTGGGGTGAAACAGACGTTGACATTTGTGGCTGGTTTGGTATATCCTATGGGGGATTAGCCACCACTCTTGGGGTGTATCTGCCCTATTTCTCAGCAGTTCATCCTGAGTTTGGCATCCGCAGTTGTGACCCACTGAGGTACGGGTGCAGGTGACATTTGGGGTTTGTTGTAATTCACCATCAGGAATGTGCCAGCTGAGACTCACAGCACCCGTAAGGGCTGAGTGACGCTGACGTGCTTGGTACTGCTTAGGCCAGATGGCGTTTCTGAACTGCCCCTGTTCCTTGCCATGGAATCTCAGGGCCTGGTCCCCTCTCGGTAATGGTCTCAAACCTCCCCGGAGCAGTAGAGTTCGCCCCCTTCACTCTCACTGAGGGCTTGAAGCTGACTGGCTTCTGGGGGTGCCTCCCATTTACCATCCCTTGTACCCCCCACTTTGCCCTGCAAACTCTGGCATTGTCAGATCAAGCAGCAGGAGAGACCTTGACAGACACGGCTTCACCAAGAGTCAAATTCCACTTGTTTCATTTATTTGAGGTGCTACAGCACCTCCTAGGCACTGAGCTACAGGGCACCGTATGTGCTACATGGGACACAGACCAGGGCTACAACAATACAGCACTGACTAGCAGCTCACGCCTCACTGCCCCATCGCCTCTCCTCTGGCCTCCCGCGAGTCACTGGTGCTCCTCACTGCGCAGCATAAGACATCTGCACAAAGACACCACAGACATCCACACTGGACAACAGGCAGCTCAAACCAGCTCCCCCACCCAGGGGCTGGCTCTCCTCCCTAGAGACTGTGAGGGACAGATGGACGGACACTGGAGCTCCATGAAAGGAGGTGGCTGCACTGCAGGCTTCTCCCATCCCCGAAGTGCAGCGCTGGCGACAGGACCTGACACCTGAGAGCCAGCTTTGGGCTCCCCAGGATCGCCAAGTCCCTTCAGCTACTCTGGGGAGCCACACTGCACCCCTGCATTGAAGCTCCTTCCAGACTCCGCTGCTGCTTGCCCTGTCCTGCTTCTCTCCTGTCCCCCAAGAACAGTCCGACCGCTCCCATCTCTGAGCTACGCTAGAAAACGAATTTCAGCTTCTGAAAGCCTAACGAGCAAAAGACGACGTCACTGCTTTGGTGCCCCAGGTCAGTAACTACGAGCTACACACCAGCTCCAAAGAGTTTGCTCTCCGCGCCCACGCGCACCCGTCGCCAGCTTCAGGCACTTTGCCCTCTGTTGGTGGGATCCTTCTGCCAGGGGCTCCCTTCAGGCCCCTTCCCGCAGGCACAGAGCCTCGACCGCGCCGCTGGGGCCCTGCGCCACCCCTCCGATCACGAAGAGCAGGCTCGGGGCCTGGTAGCTGGAGCAGGAGCAACGACCGGTGGGCATGGAGGGCAGCAGCTCCCACTTCTTCCTTGGTATGCTAAATCCTTCCACTGAGCCCAGGGGAAACGACTGGTTCCCTGCAAGAGAGGAGACATTAAACCATCACTGGGCAGCAAGAGAGGAGGAGAGAGACCTGGGTGTGGGTCAGTCAGTGGGACAGAGCTGTGAAAAAGGCAAAGGCCAGCCTCGGCTGTGGAGACAGAGAAGTCTGAGTGCTGCTGGGACGCTGTGTGCAGCTCTGGGCACCCGCGTTCAGGACAGAGGAATTTAAACTGGATCCGGTGCAGAAGAACGGGGAGCGTCTCGTGAGAGGAGACTGGGAGAGCTCAGCTTGTTGGCCCAGCAGAGAGAAGGCCGAGAGGGGAGCTGAGTGCCAGAGACCCACCAGGGAGGACGAAGAGCTATTTAAGCTCAAGTACAAAGTTGGCCCAAGAACCAAGGGGACAAGCTGGCCAAGAAGACGTCAGGGTGGACACTGGAAGTCTGTATCCATCCGAGGGGGCGGCTCTGGGACAGCCACCCAGTAGGAGCCGTGGGGCAAACAAACAACGTAACTAGTTTTAAGAGATAACTGGACACATTTGCGTGAGATAGTCTGACAGGGCGGCCTGGGGTGCGAGGGCAGGGATCAGAGCCCTGCGGGTCCCTACCAGTTAATGCTGCATGTTCTTAAAATCGAATGCCACAGCTGGTCCCTGCCCGCGCCATCCCCTCAGCCAACGCCACAGGCTGAGCGAACGCGCTGTACCCCGGGCCCTGCCCTCCCCGTCCCTTCAGCCAACACCACAGGGCCGAGGGGACACGCTGTACCATGGCCCTGCCCTCCCCGTCCCTTCAGCCAACGCCACAGGGCCGAGGGAACGCGCTGTACCACAGGGCCCCCCACGCCATCCCCTCAGCCAACGCCGCAGGCCGAGCGAACGCGCTGTACCACGGGCCCTGCCCTCCCCGTCCCTTCAGCCAACACCACAGGGCCGAGGGAACGCGCTGTACCATGGTCCTGCCCTCCCCATCCCCTCAGCCAACGCCACAGGCAGAGCGAACGCGCTGTACCACGGGCCCTGCCCTCCCCATCCCCTCAGCCAACGCCGCAGGGCTGAGGGGACGTGCTGTACCACGGGCCCTGCCCTCCCCATCCCCTCAGCCAACGCCGCAGGGCTGAGGGGACGTGCTGTACCATGGGGCCCCGTGTCATCCCCTCCATGAACACCTTAGGACTCGGAGGATGCGTGCTATCACAGGGCCTTGCCCCCAACTTCCCGGCCGCCAGCATTGTGGGACTGAGATGGCGGGAGGACAGAGGTCTGTCAGGGAGCACCACAGATGAGCACAGGGGGCAGAGTTAAGGTGGTGTATTTCCGGACGTGAATTCTGCCCCGATGCTGCATTCCTGCTATTGCTTTGCACAGCTGTGCGGCTATGGGAGAGGGGTGCGACATCCTGCGCAGCACAATTCCCCTTCACTCCCTCTCGCTTTGCAGGTTGCTGAGCTGTGAACATATGGGGGGATGAAAAGCTTTTGTGAGCTGCCTGTCAATCTGCCACCTGCCTCCCATCCCCCAGCACTGCGCAGGTAACTGACTTGGCACAAAAGAGCCAGGAATGGAACCCAATGGATTTTTCTGTCCATTTGCAGAGCTCATTGTTCCCAGTGAATAGGAACGGCTCCGGCTGTGCCGCACAGCACAGAGCAGGAGACAGTCACCGCAGGACGCCGCAGGGCACCTGGGCTGCCCACACAGAGCTGCTCTGCCCTGTGTCTGCTGCAGCACGTTGCAGAAATTCAGCTGTCTGCTTTCACCAAGTTAACAGACCCTTGCTAGGAGAGCCAGGGAGCACCCTCTGCCCCCAGCACGCTCCTGCCCTGTTCCAGTTCTCCGAGCTGAGAGGGGCAGGGGCAGGGACCGGGAACGGCTAGGTGCTCCTCCCAGACGCCGGCCTGCGGAGAGTAGCTGAACAGTGCCCCATCCAGCCATCCTGCTGCATTCCCCCGCTACACCACGGCACTCCCTGCTGGAGAGCGGGGACAGAGCCCGCTGCAGGCAGCACCTTCACACTAGCAGCAGCCCACCATGGCTCCAGCCAGCAGCTGCCAGTGATTTCACTTTGCTGGGAAGGCAGAGCCTGTGTTCCTCAGCCGGCACCCACCGCTCAGCTCCTGGCTGCCCTGGGGGCCCCCGGTGTGAAGGGGGAGCTGCTGAGTGCTCACCACCCAGGTAAAAGCCCCCCCAGTGAGCCGGAGCTCAGCATCCCCATCTGACCGTGCCGTGGTGCCAAGGCACCATCCCTACCAGCCCAGCCCAGCCGTGGGAGACACGCTGGCGTACTTCTGCGCTGGCCTCGCATCCCACATGGGGCGCTGCTGCCTGCAGGGCTCCCCCCCGTCTCCATCCCTGTCTAACCTTCCCCAGGCCTGGCCCGCCCCGGAAGTGTGGCGCTCCCTGAGTCCTACAGCGGCTTCGGATCCAGTGGGCATGTGCCTTCCTGGCAGGTCACCACGGCTGGGCACAGAAGTGAGGGGAACACCTAGATGGATGCCGCATCAGGAGCGGGTGCCAGCTAGTGAGACCGAATAAGGCACCAATGTTTACACAGAAGCAAAAGTCGGGCCCCGTCCCTGCTCTTCCTCACCCTCCTCAGGAGGGGAGCTGGGCCATCTCCGGTCTGACTGCACGGGGAGGGCAGAGCGGCCAGGGAGGGGCCCCTGAGGACAGCACGATGACAAGATGATCCCAGTGCCCCCAATAGAGACTGATGGAGCAGGGGCTGGGTGGGAACAAGGCCTGGAGCCAGAGGAGACGCTGGGACCCAGGATTCAGGGAGCTCTCAGCCCCCCAGAGAAACCCCTTGAACTCGGTGCCCTAGCGCGAAGGGGGAAGGGGAAGGGCTGGCCGCCGGCACCGCAGCAGCGAGCTCAGCTCCACTAACACAGAGCAGCGTGTGCTGGACGGCACGGCCCCCGACATGGGCCTGGGAGGGGCAGGTCTGTCTGCACAGCTCCCTCCCCAAGAGGCTGCTGCTTGGCTCCACCCTCCAGCGAGTCCCAAGCACAAGCATGACCCCCCCGGTCCTCCCCCCACGTTACCGAGGCCTCCGGCCGCCACCACTCGCCCGCCGAGGCAGCCAGCCACGAAGTCGGCTCTCTTCTCCCGCATGCGCACGGCGCGGCCCTGCTTGCTCCAGGCCCCTGCGGGAAAGAGGCAGCGTCAGGCTCGTGCTGCTGCAGCGGGTAGAAGAGTCTCGCCGGGGGCTGGGCCCTGGGCAACTTCCCCCGCGCACCTCCCTGCTGGGTCTGAACGCAGGGACGGAGCCAGGCCAGGCAGCCTCCGGAGACTCGCCCGGGGTACTTCTGCGCACAGGAATGGGACCCCCGGCCCCCTCCCCGGGGGATGAGACAGCTGGGGCAGGGCCCCCCCCCCCCCCCGCTGCTGCCATACCTGTGCGGCTGCTTCACTCACGCCCTGGCACCTCCCAGCGCCCAGGAAACAGGCCTGCCCTGGGCACAGTGCCAGGGGGTCGGCTGCGGGCCCTCGCTCTGCCGTATCAGCAGCTTCCAGCTGCCGTCGGCATTGTTCCCTCCTGCCACGGACTGCACGTGCTCGCGGCGGTGTGACCAGCACCGAGCCCGGAGGTCCTGCTACACGCAAGCCTGTCTGCCTAGCCCTGCCTGGGGTACTGCAGCTCGGGCTCCTGGGCCTCTCTGCCGGGTCCCCACCGGCTGCTCCTGCCAGCCAGCTGGCGCTGCGGGCAGGGTTCTCACCAGCCCCCACGGCAGGCTCCCAGGGGAGCTCCGGCAGCGTGGGACTTGGGGGCTCCATGGGGGGACGCTCCCTGTCCAAGAGGGGGGCAGAGAGCGCATCTGGAGCCTGGGCAGGTGGGAAAAGGCAAAGACTTGCCTCACTCCCAGTAAAGCCTTTGATCCTGCCCCAGGCAGCTCCAGGCCCTGCTGCCAGGCCGTCCCTGGGCTCGGGCGTCCCGTGGCCACGGAATGGCCTCTGGCTGGCGCAAGGTCCCCAAGAGCAGGGGAGTGAGCAGCCAGGCCGAGAGACTGACAGGCGCCTAGCCGGGCACGGCAGGGGATTTACACCCACCGTTACTCCCTCCCGGCCCCAAGCCAGTGGCTCGGCAGTTGGGCCAGTCACAGGGAACGGGACTTACAGAACAGGAGTGTGAACAAGGAAGCTAAGCATGGAGCTGGATCGGAGGGTCCGTCCCACTATCTGTGGGCCCTGCCGGGGGCCCCTCTCTCTGCACCCCAGCTGGCCACAGCAGCTGGCTGGGTCCAGGCACGCGATCCTCACGCCAGCTCACCCTGCTCCGGGTCGAACATCTCCACCGTGTTGACAAAGTGGGGCCGGGAGTAGAAGTTGTGGGGTCCCGGTTGCTGCAGGCCCCCAAGGCTGAAGAAGCAGCCATCAGCCATGGCGCAGCCGGCAAAGGCCCGCCGGCTGGGGACGCTGGGATAGCGCGTCCAGCTCCTCGTCTCCAGGTCGAAGGCCTCGAAGGCTGTGACGGGCAGTTTGCCCTGCCTCCCCCCTGCAGAGGGAGGAGATGCTGAGAGGGGCCTGAGCCGCCAGGGCCTTCACCCCACCCCCACATCGCCCCGCCCCCACGCTTCCTAGTCCAAGGGATGGGGGTCAACCCCAGGCTGCAGGTGCTCTGCAGAGCATGGGC